TTTTTTTTTTTTTTTTTTTTTTTTTTTTTTTTTTTTTTTTTTTTTTTTTTTTTTTTTGTATTTTGAATGAAATATTAATAAAATAGTGAAGAAAGCTCTACAACATTTCTTCTTTTTCATTTCCAATTAGCTTCTAACTATCAGTTTTGATTATAAATGTGATTTGATAAAATTTTAAACTGTAAGGCTTGTTTATTAAACAAACGTATAAATAATAAAAATAAATAACGCAAGAGGTACTAATAATGTCATTTTAGCTTTTATAATCATATGAAGGCAAAATAAACTCTTACATAACTACTTACTTAATAAACTTTGTTCATTTTTAGAAACGTACTGTACGTACGTTTTTTTCCTCTAAAAATTTATTATTAAGACAAATACAGCAAACAAATTTTTATTTTGCTTAAAATCTTATTAAGCCTTTAAAATTTAGTTTGTTTTAAAACTTTACTTTTCACATTGAGCTCAGTCGTTTTATCATCGTTAGCACAGTCGTTAAGTACATAAGAATATAAAGAAATATTCCATGTTATTATTGTTTTATACAGTAATTTAAATGTACAAAAAGTAACTAAAAGTAATTTTATGTACAAAAATGCTCACACAGTATATGAATTTAAAAAAAATAAAAATAAATAAACTAGTCCATTTGAATTAGTCAAGTATTTCTTATATTATTAATTAAATATAAAAATAAATTTTAAACGAAAGCAATATACAAAACAAACTTGCATTCATTTGAAGAAACATCAACGAATCATTGATCACATTTTGTATTAAAAATAAAGTATAAAATAGGCACAATCAGATACAGTTATAGGATGTTTAAACTACCTTACTTCGAAGTTTAAGTAATAACATTAAAATAAATGAACTGGTGATAAATGCAGGATTAGCACCAATAAATGCAAAACCCACATTAATAGAGTATTTGGAGAAATATTTCAAAAAAAAGGGAGAGAAATTGGAATCTACGATAATTTCTTTCTCAAATTTTGCAATACAAGGTAAGAATAAAATAAATTCAGATTGCATTTTATATGGACTGAGTGGGCAATCAAAACTAAATTTCTCAAATTCTGAAATCTTTTAAAAAATCATTTATCAATATCTTATTTTAGATTTATTATCGTAAATTGAAATTGAAAAATCCCACCACAAAAAAAAATAATAAATGCACCTCTGACACTTAATTTTTGAAATAATAATACCTTAATTTTCGAGTGAAGATATCAAACAATGTCAAGCAAGGATTTTTAAATCCAGCAGTAATTTTTTTAGGATTTTTTTATACATAATTTTATCGTTTTTTCTTTTCTTTCTTTTTTTTCCTTCTATTATTTTTATTACCTCTTGTTATATAATTCTGGGATATGTATTGTAATTGTAAAATGTATACTTGAGAGAGCTAAGATATTTAGATAAAATATGTATGCTAAATTTTTTAAAATTTTCAAAAGGCATTTTGACCTTTAAATCAATTAAAGTACACAAATTGTACAAAGAAACATTTTGAGAAAAAAAGTATTATAAATTTTTATCTATGCAAAAATTATTTGCTTTTGTTAATAAACTTGTAACACTATTATTAAATTTTAGAATGCTTAATATAATTTACATTGAAAAATGGTATTAAAGTTATCATTCATTTAATAATATAATTATAAACTAATTTGTTGAACTTATTTGCTTTAACTCGTTTCTTAAGTAAGCAAGGTAAAAGGATACTGGAATAGCGCCATCTATCGGTCTTCTGACTAGTAATTCATTTATGAGAATGCCATTATANTACATAAGAATATAAAGAAATATTCCATGTTATTATTGTTTTATACAGTAATTTAAATGTACAAAAAGTAACTAAAAGTAATTTTATGTACAAAAATGCTCACACAGTATATGAATTTAAAAAAAATAAAAATAAATAAACTAGTCCATTTGAATTAGTCAAGTATTTCTTATATTATTAATTAAATATAAAAATAAATTTTAAACGAAAGCAATATACAAAACAAACTTGCATTCATTTGAAGAAACATCCACGTTTCATTGATCACATTTTGTATTAAAAATAAAGTATAAAATAAGCACATTTAGAGACGGTTATAGGATGGTTATAGGATGTTTAAACTACCTTACTTAGAAGTTTAAAGTAATAACATTAAAATAAATGAACTGATGATAAATGCAGGATTATCACCAATAAATGCAAAACCCACATTAATAGAGTATTCTCAAATTTTGCAATAGAAGGTAAGAATAAAATAAATTCAGATTGCATTTTATATGACTGAGTAGATGATCAAAACTAAATTTCTCAAATTCTGAAATGTTCTAAAAAATCATTTATCAATATCTTATTTCAGAATCATTCTTATCGTAAATCAAATACAAAATTCCCCTTCCCCTAAAAATAATAAATCTTCCTCTGACACTTAATTTTTGAAATAATAATACCTTAATTTTTGAATGAAGATATTAATCAATGGCAAGCAAGGATTTTAAAATCCAACGGTAATTTTTTCCTAGGATTTTTTTATTTTTTATATATAATTTCAGCGTTTTTATTTTTCTATTACTTTTATTATCATTTTTTATATAATATTGGGACAGAGATACTTGAGAGAGCTAAGAAACTTACATAAAACAATTTTGTATGATAAATTTTTAAAAATTTCCAAAAAGCGTTTTGATCCTAAAATCAATTGAAGTACACAAATTGTACAAAAAAACATTTTGTGAAAAAATGCATTATAAATTTTTATAAATACAATAATTATTTGCATTCGTTAATTAATATGTTACAGCATTATTAAATTTTGGAATGTTTAATATAACTTACATTGAAAAATAGTATTAAAGTTATTATTCATATTAGTATAATTACAAACTAATTTGCTTAACTTATTTGCTTTAACTCGTTTCTTGAGTAAGCAAAGCAAAGTGATACTGGAATAGCGCCATCTATCGGTCTTCTGATTAGTAATTCATTTATGAGAATATTAATTATAAATAAGACAAATTTGAAGTTGAAAAAACAGTAAAAACATCTCAAGAACTGAGCATTTGAATGAAAAAATAGTATTCAGCATATTTAATAACGTTTAAAAATTATGTTTTCTTTAAATTATGTTATATCACAAGATATTTTAATTGCAAATTAATGATCTTGAAGCAAAGTTTTTGACGAAACAAGAACTTTTTAATAAGTGTGCTTAGTAAAAATATCGAATTTCATTTCAAATATATTAAAATAATTTTAAATATAAAAATGAGAGCGAGTTACTCTGAAACTATTTTTTGTTTATTTTTCTACAGATTTGTTTTTTTATTTTGTTTATTTTTCTTCAGATCGTCTTCAGTTTTGTTAAAACAAAACTGAGGGATAAGGTGCTTTAAAATTTAATAAATTTTCGATATTTTTAAACAAAATTTGTATGAAACTCAACTTTGCTGTACCTTTCACATGGTAAGGCTTTCAAAATTCTGAAAATTTTAGTTCTTAATTGTCTACAGCTCTATAAGATTTTTCGCATAAAGCGTAGTATTTGGTAGTCCTATATGTAAAAATATATTTCTTCATCTTTTAAAAAGGAATACAAAAATTTATTAACCAATTTCTTGTGAAACAAAATTTTCTTCGACCAACTTATTTAGTGATTATTAATAACATTTATTTAGTAAAAAAACATCAGTGAGGGCGACGGTCTTTTGCATTAAACATTAATTCTGAGAATAAAGAGCAAGAGTGCATCTAGAAATGGTCATTTACCTTTGTAAAACAACAGAGTAGGAATTACCGGGCAACTGTCCCACATCTTCTCCAATTTATTTTCCCAGTAATTCTCATTATTATTAATAATAAATGGCCATTACTAAAAATCTTTGATTTTCTTTAAGTAAAAGAAAATATAAGATGAACCTACTTGTTGCACCAATAAATTACTTAAAGCTAATTTTAATAAATCATAATCATTTGAACTAAATGCATTAAAAGTATAAATAATCTATATTTTGCCAGTTTGCCTTTAAGCATTGTATTCCTTGGCAAAATGAAAAAAGTTTAATTATATCCTACTATGATTTTGTATAGAATGACTAAGTATTATACACAATGCCGAATTTAGTATTTTACCGTTAACGCAAAGAAATCATAAAAAAAATTAACAATCTTACATTAGAAATATAATAATTTGCTAAGATACAGACATTTAAGAGAAACTCAAAATATGGAAAAAGACAATTTAATTTCACCTTTTTTTTCTATGGTAAATCATAAATCAATTGATTAAATCGCTAATCAGAATTTGAACACGTCATTTCAATTAATAACTTACAATTACTGAGTTGAATCATTGATTTATTATTGAAGTGATGAATTGAATCATTTGTTTCTATTGAACCAGTCTCAAATATAATTAAATATCTACCTGTATTACTGGATGTTGGACTGTTTCCGAGCCACCTTTTATGTGACCGCCACCTTTAATATGGTCTCCTCCTGCATTGGATAACGTTAATAAAGTCAAAAGACCAGTCACCTGAAAATGAATAAAGTCTTTTAATTAATGGAAAATTTTGCAATAAAATTAAAAAAAAGTGTTTGGATCAATTTTTAATTAATAGCAAGATTTCATTTTCATATTCGAAAAAAATAGTTTCAAAATTGAGCCAGATATATAAATTTAAAATTGTTTCTCCACGTGTTGTAACCACGTGCACAGAAAACAATAGAAAAACCTTGAGCACAATTTTGTTGTGAATCGTATTTGGTAATTTATTAAAAAAATTCTAGCTATTTTCTTAGTTGTTTTCATAAATTTTGAAAAAATGACAAGGGATTTTTCTCAAATTTGATTTTATACATGAAGCAAGATTTACTATAATAGAAGCCAGCAGTATGCGAGATTATCCACCATTAAAGTATGTTTTATTTCGCAGTTTTCTTGCCTTATACCATCGCATCTTGATATCCGATCATTTATCATATAGTAATGTCATTTATCCTGTTAAAAAAATAACCTTCCAAACACCAGAAGGAAAAAGAAAAAGAGGAAGACCAAAATTAAAAAGGTTAGATAGAATTAAGAAGTGGTTGAAGGAGTTGAGGGTTAACAGTTATATCATAACAGTTAAATATAGCAGCAGCTCTCATTAAAAATGTGAAATATCTGCTTAAAAAATGTTAGAACCTTTAAATTTTCAGAATATTCAATACGGACTTTTTCAAAAATTAACAAATACGATTCACAACAAAATTGTGAGAAAGTTTTTCAACTGTTTTCTAAGCATGCGCAGTATTAAAGGTCTACGTGAAATGTTTATATCTTGCATAATTTTTTTTAAATTACACGTTTTGTTATTAATCAAAAATTGCTCCAACATTTATATATTCATAAATCGATTTTGGCAAAGTTAGTTCTGTTTTCTAACGGATAAACTTTGCATAGCTTGTCAAGAAGAATCTAGCATATTGGCGTGTTGTTCTTCCCCTCTGTAGATAAGTTGGTTTTACAATTTCAGCTTTCTAATATTCTCTTGTTTATAAACGATCTTAATTAATTGGTCTTTATACTTATAAAAATTATTTCTAATTCAGCTTATTATACGTTTATTAAAGATTCATGACAGGCGAACAGTAAAGATATCGTCCAATAGTAATACTCTTTTGTTTCGTTTCTATAACATCTGCTCTCTGTTTAAGACCGGGCACCCCCTATATGGTCTATGCCAGGGGTTGCGAACCTTTATACACCAACATGCCATTTTCTCTAAAAAAATTGCTCAATGAGGTCATAGACGCGCCATCAAATAATTTTGACTTCGTGATTATTGGGAAAATAATAATAATAAGTACTATCAACTCAAAATTCTTTATTTACAATGAAAAAAAAAATACATTTTGCAGTATCTCAGTTATACGCGCAATTCAACTTTCAAGTAACATCAGTGTGACTTCTGTTGCTGTAGATTAGATGACAAATAACTTATATTAGGTAGTAAGATGCTAGTTTAAGCAGGACTGTTAATTTTTTTTTGCTAGTTATTTATTTTCAGCTTGTTTTTTTGGGTATTAATTGTTTTTTCAGCATTAATTTTTAATTTTTTTATTAATAATTGTTCATTACTTTGTTTATTTCTTGTGATTTTTAATTTAATTGTTACACATGCTTCATAGTGTAACAACAATTTCGATCGGTGGAGTGCTCAAAATATTCGCTTGGCATTGGTTCGCCATCCCTGGTCTATGCTAAGCCCACTAAGGCTGATGTGCAGAAGAAGAAGACGACATCTACATCCATATCTGATCAAAGTTTTTACGTGATACGGAACTGTCCCCTTCTTTAAATTACAAAAAAATACTTATTTTCATGTTCTGTAGAATGTTTGAAGACCCTCTTATAAAATTGTTGATTTTATATATAAATAAAAAGAACTTTTTTGCCTTTCTTTAATAAATAAATAAATAAAAACACCAGTCTCTGAACAGCCGTCTCAGGCCTCTGGACAATTGTTCCTCTCTTTCGCTTCCCCTCCCTCGAGTACGGCACTGACAACACATGTAAATTACATGCATAATTTTCTTAATTTGGCTTTTAAAATAGAAATGCTGCTACGTTTATTACTGAAATTCTAGTATATCTAAATTTGCTACAGAGTTAACATTTGTTTTCCTCTAGTACACACGTTAACTCTACAGAAAACTCAAACCACTGGGTTTTACCCCCTCTAGTGAGGTAAAACCGGGTGGTTTGACTTTGACTTTTTCTAGAATATATATATATATATATACACTGGTTATCATAAATTAAGGAAAATTCACAAAAATAGCGATAGCTCTTTCAAAAGTAAGCCAAACCGTGCAAAATTTGCATATGTTGTCCACTAAGAGTAGCTGAGTAAAATTGCAATATGCAAATTAGTGGCGCTGCACTCGGCTTACGTCATCTGCCTGGAGCATAAAAGTCCAAGTTTGAGAGAAAGCACACAAATTTTACTGTGATTGCGACATTGAAAATCTGAGATAGCCAATTCGTAATAATGACCTCTAGGCATCATTTGCCTGAAGAACTACGATGGAGAGCCATCGGGAGACTAGAGGCAGGGCAGAGTCAATCAGAAGTGGCCAGATGGCTAAATGTGAGTCCATCTGT